TGGCCGAGGGCGGCTGGGAGTGGGAGAGGCGGGAGGCGTGGAGAGCTGTGCAAACAGAGGAGCAAGTGGGCGCCACGCCTGGCACGGTCCCTCACCACAGGTCTGCGGTGGCCTCGGCCACCATGTCCTCCCGCGTCCACATGGAGCCCGGCCCCGAGGACCCGCCTCTCACGTTCTGACCCACGGCTACCACCTCCACTCCCCCTCCCACATCTGAGCCAACCCAGGCCAAGTTTAAAAGGCAAATCTGAAAACAAACAAACAAACAAAAATAAAATAGACCGGGGAAAAAATAAAAATAAAAATTTAATCTTAAAAAAAAAGAAAAACCTGCCAGGGGAGGGGAGGCCCAGACAAAACGGAAAGCGAGGCTCCCACAGGAGCGGGGAGGGAGGGAGGCAGCAGGAGCGGAGGAGCCGCAGCCTCACAGCGGCCAGCTCTGGGCCAGGCTCCGCCTGCACCACTGAGATCGCTTCAAAGTGCCCTCACCTGTCACCTGCACATGAGGCGTCACCTGCACATGAGGCGGCAGGCGCAGCGCGAGGGCCCCGCCCGGCAACAGCTGGGGCGAACCGTGAGTCTGCCTCAGAGCTCGTCTCGTTGTCTGCGTCCCACACCACCCACCACCTGCACTTGGCTCAGTGAGGGGGTCTCAGGGCTCCAGCGGGGCCACCTGCCTCTGATCATCTCCAACCCGCTCCAGGCCCCCCAGTCTGAGGGGCTCCCCTGAGGTCTGGGAGGCAGCCGGCCCCCAGCCACGGTGGAAGGTGACTGGGCCCAGGGCTAAGAAGACTGCCGGCCGGTGCCTGGAGGGGCGGGAGCGCTGGCAGAGGGCATGCGCCCACCACTACCCGCTCCCAGTGAGCAGACGAGGACAGACACAGGGAAGGAACTGCTCAAAGTCACAAGGGCTGAGTCACAGGGCCAGGTCAGAGCCTGAGGCTGTCAGCGGCGCCCGGAGGGGAGTGACTGGCGAGGCTGTCACTAGAGGCCAGCTAAGCCCTGCCACGCGCTTTCCTGGGAGCCAACGCTGCGCTCAACACTGCACCCGAGAACTCTCACAGCAGACCTGCGAGGCGGCCACAGAGCTAAGCGCAGTCTCGGGCCTGGATTCAAATCTTGCCTCCGCTGCTTAAATGCGGTGAGGACCTGGGCAAATCACTTACCCTCTCTGTGCCTCGGTTTCCCCACCTGCACAAGGGGGCAGGGTACCTCTCTCACAGGTTAGCTCCAGGATAAATGAGGGGACACAGGTGAACCACCTGGCACCTGGCCGAGAGGGATC